TAAATATCAATTTATTTATATTTTGAAGAAACCACATTTTTACCTCCTGAGTCTTGTATTAATAGGGAAAATGCAAATCTGGGACACCTCTAACTAATGTTCCTATTGACTTTTTTTAATGACATACTAAATACAATAAGTCACATGCAGTTGTTTCTTTTAAATGCCAAATATTTTAAAGTACTAGTAATAATAATTTTGCATGTTGCAATTTCACCACATACAAATCTGACAACTGTACACATTGTATGTATTACATTTGTGTTAGATATTGCTTTTCATTGTGTTTTTTTTTATTATTTTGCTTGCAGGATTCTTTTTGGACAAAGACCATATTGGTGGGTTCATGAAACTGATCACTATGGAAACACATCTGCTCCAGTCATTGAACAGTATCCTGTAACATGTGAAACTGGACCAGGTAATAGAAACTAGTAGTTATTCATTACAAAACAACACATTAAAATAAGGGCTATGTTTTTTTTTTATTTAAGGGTTTTTTGATGGATTAGTTGTCACAAAACTGGTGGCTACAGCAAAAAAAAAAAAAATTAAGAGAGCAGAAAAAACACTCTACCGCTCCTAAGTTGTCTTTCTCTTTTTTTTGTGGTTGTTTCAACCAGAGGTGTTTTCTGACGAGTGAGGTTCTGCAAACAGACACTGACTTTTTTTTGTTTTGTTATTGCAGGAAGCCCTTCAGGTCATGCCATGGGGTCTGCTGGAATTTATTATGTCATGGTTACTTCCATACTTACAATCATGCTGAAGAAAAGGGAGTCATCATTAAAAAGCTGGTAAGTTTACAAATGTTTATGTATTTTATCATATAATGCAGCAAGAAAATATATAATAAATTAGTATTATGGATCTCATGCTGACATATAACATTAAAGTAGTATTACAGACTGATCATTTTCTACCTTAATTAATTCTCTGCATTAAGGTAAAAAACAATCAGTACTCTTTTGTGTTCCCCTGTCCTCCCCACACTTACTGGTCAGCACTATCACCACTGCTAGTCCCCGAAGCAACTTCCTGGTTGCGAGGGAGGATACTGAGGACAGAGGAGCCATAGGCTCCTATTGCATTCAATCACCCTTTAGGGAGGAGAGGGGCATGTGGCCTGCTGCAGGGCTGTATGTGTCTATGGATGCAGACAGCCACTACGGGAACACGCATGCACAAGTGCCTCCATAGCAGCCACTTAGCTGATGGCGGAACTCGTGCAGGAGCGGGGGGATGAGTGCTGCGGGGACCCACTAGAAAATGAGGAATAGAAGCTTTTTGAAGAAAAATAACAGACAATTTATAAGAAGGCGGGCCTCCTAGATGGAAAAAAAACTGAAGCTTTAAGATCACTTTAAACATTTGCTTAAATCATCTATTAATACAAACCTTAGCAGAAACGGCAGCACACTGCATTCCTTTAATTTGCTGATTTTGGCATTGTGGACATACCCTGTTTCCCCGAAAATAAGACCTACCCCGAAAGTAAGACCTAGCACTATTTTTCAAGATTCCTGTAATATAAGACCTACCCCGAAAATAAGACCTAGTTTGGTGGTAGCATGTGAGGGGGAACTTGAAGAGCAGGAGAGATGGTATCAGCCTGCAAGGACATACTGTATTAAGAGGATGACAGGGGTCTCCCTCTGGCCAGTGCAGTGACAGCGAGCACTCCAGTACAATACTTCACCAACTGCTGTCCCCCTGAAGGCACTGCTTAATGTAATGGTACTGTACTGTAATGTGTACCGGTAAATGGTACCGTACTTTACCGCGCTGTCCACTGTCTGATGTCCCCACTGCTACCACTGTCCCTGGTGGCAAAGGAAGCCGGCGCTGTAAATAGCAAGGCTGCAGCGGCCGAGGGAGCAGAGCCGCATAAGCCGATACTTCCTCTATAGCGCCAGTTACTGTGACAGGCGGAGTGATACCAGATAACTTTAGATTGTTGTACATTTTGGTGCACTTTAAAAAAAAAAAATAAGACATCCCTGAAAATAAGACCTAGTGTGGTTTTTGGGGGCTAAAAGAATATAAGACAGTGTCTTATTTTCGGGGAAACACGGTATGCGCACATTTAAATGATCTCCTAAAAATATCCATAAGTGTAAACCTGTTCTGTTCAGAAACATTAAAACATTTCTAAGGAGTATTTTTTTAGCATGTGTTCACTGTTTTTTAATTAGAAAGTTTAATAAATCAATTTTTACCAAAGGCCATGGAGGTCACCACTGCTCACCCTCTGAATATGCAAGTTGCCTGTACCTAGCTTCAATATTTTTGAGCAAGAACCTGAAACAAGTATGCAGCAGATCCAAGTCAGAATTTTTTTTATACTTGTTCCAGTTCAGTGATTTAAAGTACTGAAGCCAAGGCATTTGCATAACTTCAAGTTTGTTATGCATAGCAGTTAAAAAAAACTTACATGTGGAATCAGATCAGTTGATATGAATAAAAAAACATATCTTTTAACATAAAACATTTGCTAAAATATGATATAAGATGCTTGTAGTGCAGCTTGTACTGATGCATTGTATAAAGAGTGTCTTTCTGTGCTTTAGGTGCCTGCGAGGAGTGCTTTGGTCTGGGTTTTGGGCCATTCAGATCTGTGTCTGCCTATCCAGAATCTTTTTGGCTGCACATTTCCCACATCAAGTAGTGGCTGGAGTAGTCTCAGGTAAACAGAAGAATCATTTTTTTACACAATTGAGATTATAAATAAAAAAATAAGGTTTATACTATGTTAAACTTTAGAATGAATTAGATTTTATGTATACTTTGCTTTGTAAGATTTTGTATGGGACATTGCTGATTACAATGCTAAGATGTCCTTTTCTATAAGTAAAATTTGCTGCTACTTCATGCATGCTGTAAAGAAGTACATTATATATAACCGCCAATTTAAATTGTCTTAATCTCACTAAGATATTGGTTCTACCTTTACAGGAATAGTTGTGGCCGAAGCATTCCATCATACACAATCTATCTATAAGGCCAGCCTGAAAAAATACATCTTGACTACATTGTTCTTGGTCTCCTTTGCTCTCGGCCTTTATTTAATCCTAAAAGCTACGGGTGTGGACCTCCTGTGGACCATGGAGAAGGCAAAAAGATGGTGTGCTAGACCTGAATGGATACATATTGACACTACTCCTTTTGCTGGACTTTTTAGAAACCTGGGCATCTTTTTCGGCTTAGGCCTAGCTCTCAGCTCTAAACTCTACCATGAAAGCTGCCGTGGAAAGAGAGGAAGCGAGTTTACATTCCGTATGTGCTGCATTGCTGCATCTCTTATTGTTCTACACCTTTTTGACTCATTCAAGCCACCTACGAAAGTGGAGATGCTTTTCTATATTCTCTCATTCTGCAAAAGTACTGCTGTACCCCTGGCTGCTGTGGGAATTATCCCTTACTGTGTTTCTCAACTTCTTCATCAACAGAGCAAAAAGAATCTTTAATGTAAATATGCAAAGTATATATAGTTTTTACTAATTTTATTGTTGGTATATACAGTCCAGACATCACACAACCATTATAAAATGCACGCACCTTGTGTCTAGCTGGAAAAGGTAATATTTAATCCAAGGGAAATGTATTGAAAGATGTCATCTATGGATTTCCAAAGAATTCCAAAAATGTTGAGGGGCTTATGCAGACTGTTCAACTTTGAAGGATCTTTTGAACTTCCAAGCTAGCGAGTCAGAAAAAGTTAAGGATGCATAGAATGTTTTTACAATTTCCCCTGAATAATTAGAATGAAATGCTGAAAAAAAACCTCTGGCACCACTATCATAGCCATTGTCTGTAATGGACGTTAATACTTCCTTCCAAATTTTTCAGTCCATTTTTGCTCCAATTGCAGCTCTCATCATTTATGGTTTACTAGCAATGTAAACTAATGATCACTAGTACCTTTTTCATAATACAAATACCACAGATTACAGAATTGGTGCTCTTGTACTAAAAAGCCTTCACGTTGTACATGGGAAGTAACCCAAACAGTTCAGTGTAAAGAAAACTATTTATTTTTACTGAGATTGAAGGAAGACATTTGACTGGTAGATGGCTTGCAGTATACAGATTGATAGTATTTAAACAGTGCTATTAAAGCCTGCTGTTCAAAAGGAATAACTGAGTATGTTATTTGCTAAAACATCCATTTTTAATTTGGCAAGTCAACATGGTTTGGCTTCAGCCAGTTTAGCAGTATATAAAAATTTAATTTTTAGGTATTGGTTAGCATAGGTAGTTTGAGACAAACATACAATACCTCCTGGCCAGCAAAAAGGTGCTCAGTAAATGCCCCCTTCCACCATTAAAGAGTTGACATTTTAATTGTCACTTTATGTTAAAATGTTTTTGTTGTTTTGTTACTTTTAGCATCTATTTTTTCATATATTTATTTATTTGCACCAGCACCATTAGGTTTTGGGTTGTGCTGTCCATTGTTGAATAGTTAATTGTGTAATATTCATTGGAGATGTTTTAAATATGATATTTTGTAATAAAAACGTGAAACCCATGAAGTTGTTTTTGTAATATTTGTTGTTCCTGTAAATGTTAACATTTTGCTTAATGATTCAGGCAAACCAGAAAAAATTGTCAAAATGATGCAATCTTATCATTCTATTCGGTTTATCTGAAAGCATCTTTGGGCTAAGCCCCTGGGGGTTGCAGGTAATTTTCAGCCAGTACAGTTTTGTAAACCAGAGTATAGATCTTCTTTAACAAGTCAGAGAAAAGCTACGTTGTTTGCATGTTTGTTCACCACTTCATGCTAGTGCTATTTTGTTTTATTACCGGCCCAGCATCATACCATCTTTCAGTCATTGCACTATATATCTGTCAGTTTTACATAATCCTTCTATAATGTATTTTTTGCTCTGCATTGCTATTTTATTCACATTAGTAGTGCATACTTTCCATCTTAAAGAAATAGTCCGGGCAAAAGTTTTATTAAACCTTGCAGTGGGGCTACCCCAAAATTCAATGCAAGGGTTAACTGCTTTTTTGTGCCTAGGTAGGAAAAAAACAAAGTTAGACTCACCTGATCCTCGAATATGGCTTGCTCTTAGACTGTTCGTTCCAGCCTCACACCCTCTTCACTGCAGTGGTCTAAGGATCCTGGTGTCATCACATTCTTTTCACAGGGGGAATTTATCAAAACTGGAGCAGACAAAAACTGGAGCAGCTGTGCATGGCAACCAATCAGCTTCTCTCTTCAGTTAAGATTTGAAAATGAAAGAGAGAAGCTGATTGGTTGGCATGCACAGCTGCTCCAGTTTTTGTCTGCTCCAGTTTTGATAAATTACCCTCATTATGTTTTCTATATATTATATATAAAATATGCTTTTGCCCGGAGTTCTGCTTCAACAACAACACTGAACTAAAGACAGACACATAAACACTTAGATGAAATGCATAAATAGGAACTATTTTAACTTCCCAAAGATTTGTGTTTGACTAATCATGTGATATACATAGTCCCACCAGACACCAGAACCAGCTTGTGAACTGACTTTTTCCTACTGCAGTTAATGTATATAGAAATCTAAGACATTTTTTTGTTTTGGATAGTGCAGGAAAGGTTTAAAACCCCTGTCAGTTTTCTGTGATCTGTGTTCCAATTGCAAGTATTCCTTCCCTTTCCGGTCCGATAGACAAAACAAGAAGCAGTGGGAAAATTCCCCAAAAGTAAATCCTTTTATTAGATGGTTGTAACTCCAACAATTGGGCCCATTGGAAAACTTGCCTTCTTTTTTTATTCTGTTAACAATTAACATTTTCCTTTCCTTTATGCTTACTTTCAGTCTTCGTGAAAAAGTCACCAGGACAAAATAAGAGGCTGAATCTAGGGCTGCAACTAATCATTATTCATCATAATCGATTAGTTGGCCTAATATTTTTTTAATTGGATTATTAATCGGATAAAAAAAAATGAAGTGTTACAAACATAAAGTTTACTTCAGACTAAACTGCATGCACAATTTTGTGTAGTGCATGTTCCGGTGCGGGCGATCACACTGCAGGTGGGAGGAGCATTTGGGGTGCCACTGAAATGAATGGCACCAGAACGAACCTCCCTCACCAGAATATGTCAGGCCGAAACCAAAAGTGACTTTTTTCCCCACCTTTTTTAGTTTCTGTTTCTTTTTTAAATAATTGGGGGGGAGGGAGGGGGGCTTTTCTTCTTTTTTAAACTATTTTCTCTTTTTTATGGTTAGGACTTTGGGGAAATATCAGGGGTCTAAACAGACCGCTGATATTTCCCTTTTGAAATAAAGCCCTCAGTCTCTTTTTCTGCAGCCCCAACACTTAATCAACAGGCGTCACTCAATACAGAGGCTTCCTTCATAAATCATGGAGATAGTAAAGAGATGCTGGGGGGAATTTATCAAAACTGGAGCAGACACAATCTGGAGCAGCTGTGCATAGCAGCCAATCAGCTTCTCTCTTCAGTTTGTTTAGTTAAGATTTGAAAATGAAAGAGAGATGCTGATTGGTTGCCATGCACAGCTGCTCCGGATTTTGTCTGCTCCAGTTTTGATACATTCCCTTCAATATGTCCACAATCATGAATGAACAAGAAGTGATGTAGTCATTCATAATTGGGGACACCGTATCTGAATATTGCGTCCTCAGTTATTTACAAGCATTGTAGTGATCACTACTGATCACCGCAATGTTTGAATATAGCAAATTTTCACAAATATTTGTTGGGGGAGGGAGAGGTTTGGTGGAGCTCTCCTCACCGCTGTGCACTGGCTCCCAGCGCGGAGGAGAGAACTAGGGCACCCAGACCAACTAATGAATAATGAGAATCGTTGACGATGTTACTCATTATCAATGAAAATTGATTATTTCGATTAGTTGGTGGCATCCTTGGTTGAATCTCCCCAATGGGGACACCAACAGTAATACAAATCTGACAGGGTTACTGACCCTTTCCTACTCTATACAAAAATGTTTAGCTTTAGAAATGCTGTAAGAATTAAAGCCTGGTCACCTCACTTCCTCAAATCTGTGTTATGACAGTGAAGGAGAAACAGCAGGATACAGAGCACATTCTTCTGCTCACTATGCTCTCTTCTGCTGGCAGCATGTTCCTTGTTATTTTATGGTATGGGCATTACATAACTGCACTAGTTTTTTATATCTGCATGCATTTCATCTTTTTTTTTTATAGATAATTTTTATTGATTTTTGCAAGTGTCCGAGACACAACAATGATAACAACAACACCATCACAAACAACAATTGGGTCAACATAACCCAGGCATTTACACATCAGTACACTCACTATGTTTGTCATGAGGTTACAAGGTTACACAAGCTGTGAATGCAATATACCAGGTTCAAGACATGGTGATAAAGCTCTAAGATGGGTATCACGGAACATTGAGAAACCAACTCAACCACATATATCAGCCGACCCAAGAGTATCGCCTAGGACTCATAGGTCCAGGACTGGGGAACTCAGGGCCAAAAGTTAGTAGTACTACCCCGTTTCCAAATTTGTGTTTGAGGAGGCCAGCCATGGGTCCCATATGCGGCCAAAGCGTGTCGGGTTACCTCTCTGCTCGTATGTTAGTTTATAAATGGGGAGTGCTTGATTGATCAGTCTTTTCCATTCGCCCAGGGTGGGGGCCGTCTGGCTACCCCAGACCAGGAGAATGGTTTTCCTGGCATAAAATAACAGGAGGCGGATAAGTGTCTGAGAACGGGAGGCCAGTGCTAGCTCCCCAAAGATACCCAGGAGGCAGAATGAGGGGTTGCAAATGTTGGGGAAGCCGAGGCTGACCTCCATGAAGGAAGTGATTTCCGACCAAAAGGCTCTTATGACGGGGCATTCCCAGAAACAGTGCAAGAAGTCGGCCTCTCGCCCGCAGCGCTTAAAACAACGCGAAGTCGGGCGTAGGCCGAGTCTATGCATCCGGGCGGGAGTGTAGTAGACCTGGTAGAAGAACTTCATTTGGATCAGTCTGTCCCTAGACGCTATTACAGATGACATATAGCTGCTCTCAAAATCACCCCAATCCTCTTCCACCAGGTCCGGGAGGAGCGACCGCCACTTCTGTTTGCTGTCGTCAAATCTACCGGCTCTGGAGGACATATTCAAGGGTATATGTTTAAAAATGGTGGTGAGGTTCAACATTATTTAGGGCTAGGGTTGCCACCTGTCTGGGAGTCACCCGGACAGTCCGGTTTTTGAGTCCTGTGTCCAGATTTCAGGCCAGCTGACACCCGGACACAAGACACTAAGTGCCGATACCAGTACTTTAAATTTTTTTGACAGATGCAGCTGCCTGAGGTCCCGCCCTTGCTGGGGACCACCTCAGCCTTCCTGTGAGCCACTGGCGGCTGTAAACATCCCACAGGCCCAAGGCCCTGGTGCGCCCGCACCGCCTGCACCGGCGGTAGTTCCGCCACTGCTGCACAGCACTCTTGAAAGCCTGCATAGCCCAGCTGAGATCCCACACAATCATCTGAGAGCCTGCATAGCCCACCTGAGAGCTCTTATAGCCCACCTGAGAGCGTGCATAGCCCACCTAAGACCGGACATTGCCCACCTGAGAGTCCATATAG